CCTGATAATCTTGATATTGGCATACAAGGAGGATTAATTGATCACAACAACTATGTCACCTTGGCTAAAGTAATAACATCAGAAATAAAACATAATCATAAATTGAAGAGGCATGATCTTGCAACAGACTCAAAAACCAAAATCCAGCTTTATCTGGAAAGCAATTCTGAGAAGTAGTTATTTCCTAAATGTTCAAAATTCCAGCAGTGAAGCTGCCTGTCATAAACAATTTATAGGCATCAACCCAGGAATTAAACTTTAAAAAGAGAAAAGAAAAGAAAAATGAGGAGGCATTCAGGCAAGATACAACCCCAGACTTTCAGCTCACCAAAGGTAAATTTAGGGAACAATGAGATGGAACAATCTGGATCATAAGTGTTCTTTTTGTTTGTTTGTTTGCTACTGGGGATTGAACTCAGACCCTTGTGTTTGTGAGGCAGGCAGCAGAACCACTGAGCTAACTCCCCAGCAAGATGGAACAATCTGAAAGCCATGTTAGGCACAGGTGGACTCTGAAGTGGTAGCAGCAGTAGTAACAAAGCAAATGCATGAGGCTCTAGATAAAATCAAATCAGATATACTCTCAGATAACTATAGAAATGGTAAACATAATGAAAGACATGGTTAATAATTGTAGAGCAGATAAAAATTTTAAAAATAGGGGAGTTTAGGAAAATGATGGAAACCACAAATGCCCAACATAAGAAAGAAATGGAATCCATGAAACACATTCAAACAGATATCCAGGAGATGAAAAATTCCACTGCAAGTATACTCAACAGAATGACCCAATGTGAGGACAGGGTATGACCAAGTAGAGTTCATCCCAGAGATGCTGGGATGGTTCAACATATACAAATCAATAAATGTGATACACCATTTAATAGAGACAAAGAGAAAAACCATATGATCATCTTAATTGATGCGTGAAAAGTGTTTGACAAGGTCCAACCCCCATTCATAATAAAATCCCTACAACAAATTTGAATAGATGCCCTTTATCTCAATCTTATAAAAGCCATCTATGACAAACCAATAGTCAATATTATACTAATGGGAAAAAAACTGAAAGCTTTCACTCTAAAATCAGGAACAAGATAAGGATCTCCACTGTCACCAATCTGATGCTGTATAGTTCTGGAAATATTAGCCAGATCAATTAGACAAGAGAAATAAATAGAAGAAATAAGGATAGAAAAGGAAGAAGTTAAATTATTATTTGCAGATTACATGATACTCTATATAGAAGACTTTGAAAGCTCTGCCAAAAAACTTCTGGATTTAATAACCAAATTCAAAAGCATAGCAGGATATAAACTGAACACTCAATCAATAGCTTTCTTGTACATGAATAACAAACTCACCAAGGAAGCAGTTAGGGAAACAACATCTTTCACAATAGCAACCAAGGAAATGAAATATCTAGGAATCATTCTAATGAAAGAAGTAAAAGACCTCTACATGGAAAACTATAGTACTCTGAAAAGGAGATTGAAGAAGATAACAGAAGATGGAAAGGTGGCCCTTGTTCTTGAGTAGGCAGAAGAAATATTGTGAAAAAGTCCATACTTCCAAAATTGCTATACAGATTTAGTGCAATCTCCATCAAAATTCCAACAACATAACTCATAGAATTAGAAAAAATAATCCTAACATTCATTTGGAACCAGAAGAGACTTAGAATAGCAAAGGCAATTCTGGGAAACAAAGGCAAGGCAGCAGGCTTCACAATCTACAACTATAAAGCTACTGTGATAACAACAACAACAACAACAACAACAACAACAACAACAACAACATGGTACTGGCAAAAAGAAAAAAAAAAAGACCTGAGGGTCAATGGAACAGATTAGAAGATGCAGAATCAACTCCAGATGTACTCAGCCACTTTATCTTTGACAAAGGAGCCAAATACCTTTATTGGAAGACAGCCTTTTTAATAAATGGTGCTGAAAAAGCTGGCTTTTCCACATGCTGAAGATCGAAGATTTTTCACCATGCACTAAACTAAAATTGAAATGGATCAAAGATCAAAATATTAAAACAGAAATACAAAATCTGCTGGAAGATAGAATAGGTAGAACTCTTGAAGACATTGCTGTAGGCAAAGACTATGAACAAAACCCTGATTGCACAGGAACAACCACAAAGACTCAACAACAGGGATCTCATCTTATTAAAAAGCTTTTGCATGGCAAAAATAAAACAAAACAATGACAGAGTAAAGAGACAACCCACAGTGTGGGAAATTTTTTTTTGCCAACTATTCCTCAAAGAATATATTTAGAATTTGTCTCAGTGGTTCTGCAGCCTGTCTCGCAAGCGCAACTGCCTGAGTTCTATCCCCGGTACCTACAAAAAAAAAAAAAAAAAAAAAACAGATTCCCCCAAATTTAAAGACCTAATCCAAAAATGGGCATCTCAAATGACTTCTTAGATGAAGAAATAGAAGAGCAAATAAACATGAAAAAATGTTCAATAGCACTGGTCATTTGAGAGATGCAAATGGAAACAATGCTGGGAGTCCACCTCACTCCAGAAGGAATGGCTGCTATCAAGAAATCAACCAATAACAAATGCTGGAGGTGCTGTAGGGAGAAAAGAACCCTTCTTCATTGTGGTTGAAAATGTAAACTGGTGCAAACACCATGGAAACCAGTGTGGAGATTCCTCAGAAAACTAGAAATAGAGATTTCATTTGACCCAGCTATTCCCCTTCTTGGTATCTTCCTAAAAGAATGAAAAGCATCATACCACAGTGATATATGCACACCTATGTTTATAGCAGCAGTTTGTAATAGCTAAATGTTGGAAATAGCCCAGCGGCCCTTCATCTGACAAATGGATAAAGAAGATGTGTGTTTTTTAATATAATGGGGTATTACTCTACCATAAAGAAGGACAAGCTTCAGACATTTATAGCCAAATGGAAGCACATGGAGACCATACTCTCATGTGAAATAAATTGGACACACATGTTTAAACACTGCGTTGTTTCTCTGGTGTTAAGAACCAAATAGGAAATAAGGACTAAAATGTATATTGGGAAATAGGAAGAAAATGGAAATGTTCAAATGGGAAGAGCAACAAGAGAAAGAGGAGGGGAAAAGGAAGAAGACAAGAAAAAATATAAAAATATAGAAGGAAAAATTGAAACAAAGCTTTTGTACATAGGAAGGTGAGGGGGCCTTGAAGAAGGGGAAGGGGAAAAAAAGAAGAGGCAGGATATCATGTACAGGTGCAAATCCCCTATGATGGGTGCTACCGACCGTAGGGGAGCAAAGACTGGATTTTACGAGGAGAACAGGGATCTTCAGAAAGGTGGGAGCAGGTTCGGCAGCGACAGTCAGAAACCACACAGCACTGAGTAGTGAAGGTAGTAGCTGCTGCAATTTTATTTCTAACTCTAGGTGTATATATACTAGTTTCAAGGGCACACCTTAAGAGTGATTTCAGTCACAAGCAGGCATGAGAAAGATCGACAATAGTACTGTAAAAGCTAAGACCACAAGGTCAAGTTAAGACCACACCTATATACAATCACAAAAGCTAAGACCACTAAGTCAAGGTAAGACCACACCTATACGCAGTCAGAAGGGGAAGTTTGTAAAACAAAGGACTGGCTTCAGCATGTCACCTTCAGGATCACCTTCAGGACTTCACAGTCCGGGTCTCAGGGTCAGCACTTTGGCCGCCCGTCCTCTTGTGCCCCAACACCTCCCCATCTCTAGGGACATCTAATTGTTCCTGACCTTTCCTGGGCCCAGAATACAATTCTACAGATAATGAACAAATAGTAATAAAGACAAAATAGAACAGAATTATAAATGAACCCAATGTCCCCAAACTGCAGGCAGAGAGGCCAGCTATTCTCTTCACGGCTGACTTCGCATGCGGTGTGAGCCAAGGAAGGACCTCCAGGAGGCTTAACCCCGTGGGGACGATACCTCGGGTCTGGTTTCTGCCAGGTGACCGGCATTGTCACGCAGACTCCACTGGAGTGGTCGTGGCAGATGGGTGTTATTGTGTGTGTCTAAAATGTACCAACAAATGTTTTGCTTTAAAAAAATAAATAAAAAGTAGTTCATAAACCGGGTGTGGTGGCACATGCCTGTGATCCCAGCTCTTGGGAGGCCGAGGCAGGAGCATCATTGTGAGTTTGAGACCAGCCTGGGCTACCTAGTAAGTTCCAGGTCAATCTGAACTACACAGTGTGACCCTGTCTAAAAAAAAAAGGTAGTTCATACATTAAAACAAAACAGCCTGGACCAATGCAACTATGAGGCTTATGTCCAAACCTAGAAAAGGGTCACATGGGAGGGGCAGTGATACAAAGGAGGAAACACATTAAAAATAGAATGTCAAAATGAAAAAAAGAAAGGCGTTATTCACTATCTTTTGATTTTTGTTCCAGGTGCATGGATTACAATGAAATAATAAATACCTAATTTTTCATAGCATGCGATTAAGTCCTATCTATGAAAGCTGAGAGATAGTGAGATTTGAAGCCTAGGGACAGCGATGTAGCTCAGGTAAATGGGGTGCTTAGCATGTGCAAGGCCCTGGGCTCAATCCCCAGTACTCCTCCTCCCCTTCCTAGTTGAAACCAGAATGTAGCAGAAGTTTGGGCTTCTCTGTTACCTATGCTTTCCCACATATTCTTTTATTCGTGTTCTGAAGCATGAGTGTGTTTTGTTAAACTATCACAGAGCTGTCATTTACCGGGGGGGGGGGCTTTTGTTGTTCCATACATTAGCATATTTCCAAATTTCTCCATTTGAAATAGATTCATTACATTCCATTAAACACTCCATCTGTGTAAATACGAAAAGTAGAAGGGCTTTCAGTAGGAAGAATTTTTAGGAGCTTAGAAATATGCCTGACAGTTTCATAATATCTGCAGAGCAGCATTTTGCAGTTCACACACTGCACTCTCTGTATCAGGTGACCCTTTACACAAGGAGCCTCATGTGATTCTTGCTATTCTCAGCTACGTCCATGAACTAAAATTAGTGCTCTGCTGACAGAACATTCACTGGTCACAGCCCGACTGTGGATTTCAGTCCTTTGGAACCACGCTGGGGAAGAAGTCCCTCGGCTGTGCATTCTTAGTTGATAATCCCTGGCTTCGGGCACAACAGCTTCAGCATCAACCAACAATGGTAAGTGATTTTTGAACATTCCCGCCCCCTCTTCTTCACACACGACTAGATTGCTGGAGGTGACTTCGTTGTTTCTATGAAGGCCGGCATGTACAACTAGATGTGGTGCTGCATTCAGGGCCTGGAGTCACACGTGAAATTGTCTTCTACTGGAAGATCGATTTCCCTATGAGCAGGAACATCGTTTCTGAAGTTGTGTTTCGTTGCTTTTGACTACGGGAAGCAACTATTCCAGTCATGTTGCTGCCATGCTCTGCGCTGCACAGTAACAATCAAGACAGAGATCACAGCTGCAGGGACTTGCTTTCCTAGAAGGGAAAATTTGTTGTTAAAGGAAAAATGATGGATGATTATAATTAAATAGCATATAGAGAAATGAATTAGCAAATAACTGAATAGTTTTAT